GTTTTTTTAATTAAATGTTGATACATGATCTGAAACAATGTTGTAGATGTGCATGTCAAGGTGTTTTAATGGATACTGATCAATGCAAACCAGGAGCTTACTCTGACCCATTTACAGTTACCCATTTTACAGGGAATCTATGTAACATAGGAATTAAGGATTCTAAGCATGCATTCAAGTTTGGTCTTTAATTATTTTTGCTGAAGCATTTTGACATTTTTATTTTTTAACAGAGACCAGAAAAAATCATATACAGGTATATACAGGGTTCCTCAGGGCTCCATACTGGGGCCCTCCTGTTCAAGATTTACATGCTCCCTTTAGCTCAGATTATAGCAAACAACAATATCATCTACCATAATGATGCAAATGGCACACAGCTTGACATTACAATGTCACCAGGTGACTATAAACCCATCAGAGCGTTGGTTAAATGCCTATGTGACAGTGTGGGGTGCTGTCACTATATGGGGTTCCATTATGGACACACCAGAAGACACATAAACATATTTTTGGCACTAACGGAACCCCATATAACTGAACCCCATATACAACTGATGATGCACCTTGGCTACTTGGCCATTGGATATTCCTTTGGCTGACCTGTCAACAGGCAGGACTTTCACCCGGGAGTCTGGGCATCTGATCCTGCATGGGCCCTCTGCTGTATACCTTGCCACCCTTAGAACAGATCAATATGTGGATGTGCCATATTTTTTCCACCTGAATAAAAACAAAACTGAGGTAATAATCTTCAGACCAATGGAGGAGATATCCAGAGTTAGTTTGCAGCTTCAGCTCTTACAGCTAGAAGCCAATCCCATCCCACTCTATTTATATAGCACTTAAAAAAAATAGGACCAAAGTGCTGCACAAAAGCAGAAATACACATCAAAAAATGATAATAACAATATAGAAAATAAAAGAAATAAAACATAAAACCAACCAATACCAGCATCCTTTTGAGTATTAAATGCCAGAAAGAAAAGATGAGATTTTAAAAACGATTTAAAAAATGGTAAAAGAGGAGGCTACCTGATATACAGTAACAAATCCTTCCAAAGTTTGGGACTGGCTACAGAGAAGGCCAGACCCCTTTGAGTTTACGCCTCGTTCTAGGTACTGACAAGAGTAACTAATCTGCTGATCTAAGAGAACAAAGCGATACAAGCATGTAGGAGATAAGCGATATATGGTGGGGCAAGGCCATTTAAAGACTTTTAACAAGCCATGGATTATGGCCAAAATCTTGGTGTCATGAAGGACTGAGACCTGAACCGTCAGAGGCAAATAAAGGCAGTCAATAAATCAACCTTTTATCACCTGAAGAACATCTCCAGGATTAAAGGACTAGTGTCCAAAATGGATCTAGAAAAACTAGTTAAGAAATTTCTCATTAGTAGAATTAAGTAATGCAACAGTGTCTTCATAGGTTTGCCTAAAAAGTCCATCAGACAGCTGGAGCTGATCCAAAACACTGCTGCCCGTGTTCTCACTAGAACTATGAAAGTAGAGCACATCATCCCGGTCCTGAAGCCCTTATACTGGCTACCTGTAGTTCTGAAAATAAACTTTAAAATCGTGTTAGTCTATAAATCACTGAATGGATCAGCACCTCAATACATAACAGATTTGTTGTCAGTGTATCAACCTCCCAGACCACTCAGGCCTTCTAGTTCCAGCCTACTCGGCACACCCAGAACTAGAACCAAACATGGAGAAGCAGCATTTAGACCTATGATCCGCTTATCTGAAACAAACATCCAGAGTGTAAATGTGCTGAAAGCCTGGTGCTTCTAAAGTGAAGTTAAAAACCTGTTTGTTTAGAACTGCTTTTGAGTGTTGAAATTACACTTTAAACTGTGGTATAATTAACTTAAGTTTGTCTGTTTTGTTTGTTCTATTTGTTTTTTTGTTTTTTTTTACCTCTACTTGTCTTAATTTGGCTTTTAATTTCCTTATTATATAATTCACGTGAAGCACTTTAAATTTTCTTTGTACTGATTCGTGCTATACAAATAAACTTGCCTTGCCTACATTCTATTGTTTTTGAGTTTTGGTTGAAGTTGTAAAATAATTTTTAGCTGTGGTTTAGTGTCAACTGTTTACTGATATCATACAGTATAACAAAGACACCCTATGTGACTTAAAAATTCTGGGTTCTCATTTATAAAGCTCTAGTAGGCACAAAACTGGGCTTTAAATTTGCATAAGTCCACTTCCATGCAAAGGTTGTGATATATAAAAAACAAAGTTGTTGTGAAAATGATCGGTCCGTCACACAAACTCTGGCCCATCCGTACTGATATGCAGATTTTGGAGAGGGGGGAAATTGGCGACACAGATAGTGACTGATGAGGGGAACCTAAGTCAGATTGCACCATAATTTCTCTCAGATATTTAATTTCAAGTGCAAAATTTTAATCATTATACATTGACTTTATCAGATCCAAAATATATGCAGTATATGCTGGCAAGGACAAGTCCTGTCGCAAATAATCATAAAATTAAAATTTGCAGTAAATATATATGCATATATACAATATATATATATATATATATATATATATATATATATATATATATATATAACTGTAACTGGATTATGTGACAGAAGTAATTTCCCTCTGGGATTATTAAAGTATTTCTGATTCTGAAATGTTTCTTCATCATTACATCATCACTCCAGTGATCAAGGGGGATCAAGGGGGAGTGAATCATACCAGAGATCAATACATAAATGTCATAAAGGTTGAGGACTCCACATGAATTGTTGTAAACATTTAAATATAACGAACCACTGTGGCTGATGCTTCACGATGGATGATTTAACTATGTTGGAGATTTTTGAAATGGAAGGTAGATGCAATTTATTATTATTATTTCTAATATTCATCGAAACATTAGGAAACTAAATCAAATACTCCCTCATATTAAATCTCATTTGTCTTTTTCATCAAGAGGATTTCAAATGCTCGTTTGATACACACACATGCACATCAAACTTAATTTTTCTGTACCAAATAATTGTACAAAATATAGCAACTTTTAACTGCTTTCATTTATCCTTGTTGTCCATAATCTTGCAATTTAATACGTTCCTTTAGATGAAGGTACATAATCCATAATCTTGGGATTCAATACGTTCCTTTAGATGAAGGTATTTTCAACTTCTGAGTCACATACATAATTTAGACATTAAAGGATATTCTAAGATTACTAAGATAGCTGGACGTTTCTATTTAATGTTTTTTGGAATTTTCAACATGATTGAATATGAAATATAAAAGCTATAAAAAATATTACAGCTCGTTTTGTACTCTTGATGGTCTAAGTAATACTGTAAATGTGGGAGTCGTTCCTTTTGTCAGCAATGCTATTTGCACCCTCTACCAACAGGTGGCAGAGCTGCTCCGGTTTCTTCTACTCTCCACGACTAAAACACATTGAACCCACAAAGAAGATATAAGGGGGCTGCTCCGAGTGGTGGAGGGACAAGGATGAACGCCGCGTTTGGTGCATGGCGCGTGTTTTGAAGCTGCTCTGCTTGTGGAGAAATGTCCTGGGCCGTGAGTAGTGAGGAAACAGGAAGCGATTCTTGTGGGATGGAAGAGGGAAATAGTGACAATGAAGGTTGGAAGATAGCAGCATCAAAAAATGAGAAAAAGCGGAAAAAACAGAGATCAGTTAAAGGGGAATCTAGTTCAGAACAATCCAGTGATGATCAATCCATACATTCCACAGCACAACAAAATGAATTCAAAGTCATATTCAAAGTCGTTAATCAGGCAGACTCTTTTACAAACTGGAATCCGGTTCACTTAACAAAAACCATCAATAAACTTGTTGGAGAAGTCAGAGGTGCCAGAATTCTGTACAGTGGAGACCTGCTAATTAACTGCAGAGACAGCGCCCAGCAAGGCAAAGCAATACGTATTAACAAAATTGACGGGATAAGAGTTCAGTGCAGCCTAATGGAGAACAAAAAGATCAGCAGGGGAGTCATTGGAGGAGTTCCTCTGAAAATTTCTGAAAAAGAGATTCTGGAAAACATAAGCGGTGCAAAAGTAAAAGAAGTAAAACGGTTAAAAACAACAAGAAACGGAGAAAGATCTGACAGTTTATCTGTACTAATTAAATTCGAGGAAGAGCAATTACCAAGCAAAGTATTCATCGGTTACATCAGTTACAATGTCAAAATCTACAATCCACCACCATTGAGATGTTTCAAATGTCAAAAATTCGGACACATTGCAGCAGTTTGTAAAGGGAAACAGAGGTGTGGAAGGTGTGCAGGAGAACATGAATATGGTAAATGTGGAAAAGAAGCTAAAATAAAATGCTGTAATTGTGGTGGAGAACATACTGCTGCTTATCGCGGCTGTGAAGCAAGCAAAAGGTCTGAAGAAATAAAAAAAATGAAATTTGAGCTTGGAATAACTTATGCTGAAGCTGCAAAAAGGATCCCATCTCAGTCAGAAAAACCCAAACCTACAGTTCAACACACGGCAAATTTCAAACCTCTAGAGAAATCTCCAAAAATTGATGAAGACTCACTAATTGTTAAAAAGACAAATTTTGTTCTTTTCATGGTGGAAGTGATTAATTGTACTGCTCAGACGACAAAAAAAACAGAAAAAATCAAAATAATAGTGAAGGCTGCAGAAAAATATCTGGATGTTAAAGATATGAACTGGGAGATGGTTGGAAGCATGATGGAAAGACCAATGGGACCATCAGAAACTGGCAGAGGTACGATGACCTAGAGTAAATTAAATTATACGGGCAAATGTAATTTAGTATAATTTAGTATTATGTGGGTTTAAGTTACACAGGTTATTTTATTGTATTTTTTTTTTTTTTTTTTTTTTTTTTTTTTTGGGGGGGGTGAATCGTTTCCTGTTTCCTTGCTTTACTCCATATCAGTTGGTGGCGGTAATGCACATTTCACAAGTTTGCCAACCGCCATAAAATCTCATAAGAAGAAGAAGAAGAAGAAGATATAAAGCCGAAGTAGAGGCTTTGTTAATTTGTTGTGTAAAATCCACACAACTGGTTGCTTTTTTCCAACAATTTGATTAATGCCGGCTAGTTTCGGTAGTATTAGCTTCTAAGTTATTATCAGTCCGTGATTTAGTTCATAAAGTAATTGTGACGACTAAAGAAAAAAGGGTGAAAAAAAAGAAGGAAAAAAACGCATTGGTAGTCGCCCAAGACCTTTGTTATTACGGTGAGCACTTAAAGACGTTAAAGGTAAGTTTTTCTTTATGCCTTTTAGCTTTTCTACAATTTGTCAATGTATAATAGTGTAGGTTTAAAACGAGTCGCTTCGTTTGCAAATAAGCTAAAGCTAACTCTGAAGCGACTCATGGGCTTACGGTGAAATTTCGGTCTAAAATTGTCTAAATTCACCATCTCCGCACAGATTAACCGAATCCAAACTTTTTAGTTGGATTTTTATGGTTGTTGACGAGTGACTTATACGGATTTAGCTGGCAGGAACGTTGTTAAAATGCTGGACTGACCTCAAGCACACCCTAAACAAACTAAATGCGTTTTGTGACACTTTAAAAGCTCTTTCCTTAAGCTGGTTTCAAAGTATTAAAACATGTAAGCTTATTTGAAAAGAAGGTTATTACTTACACAAAACTTTTTGATGCCAAATGTGGGTAAAAACGGAACAAAACACTATAGTTTTTTGTTTTAAGTAGAATCAGTAACCAGGTGCAAGTAATGAGATCTATTTGATTAATTCAGCTGGTGTGATCACATCTGTAAGGGCAGCATTTGTCAGTTTACTTGTCTGGAGCATTTAGGTTTTAAATTAATTGTTTATGATCTAGAGAAGCAAACATTAGTTTCTGTTAAACTGAGATTGTTTACAAATGTATGTCTTATTCTGTTCTGTTTGTTTCCAGCAATATTGTTGATAAAAAGTTTGACTCATGCTGATATTGTATCAGGTCACTTCCTTACAAAATCAATATCCAGCAATACTTAAAGCTGAAATATCAGTATCAGAATTTACGCATCTCCAGCCTTCCTAGAAATGCACATCCCAAGGTCCAACTTTTAAAGTTTATACCAGAAAAAAAACTGTATTTCATTGTTTTTCTGTTGTTGTTGTTGTTGTTGTTTTTTTCTTAAAGCATCACAAGGATGCTTTACGATAAGAGAAACCCATAGAGATATTTTGCCATTGAGCACAGGATATCAGCACAAACATATCCAACCAGTTTATAAGCGCTGTAGTGGAACGGTGACGTTTTGCCACAATTTCAACAAAACACATAATATTAGGTCTTTGAATTTGAATTTTTTTTACCGTGTGTTTTTTCTCAATTTGTTGGAGCAAAATGTTAATTATTCTTCATATTGTTTTCTTGTTTAAAAACAAAATACCAGATTCACCAACTTTAAGATTATTTTGTATTCATTAGTTCAAGACTGAACGGTATATATCTTCTTTATTGTATGATTGCCTCCTAGTTCTCCCCTGATATTAGAATTTATTGTATGAGAGGAGATGCACATTTTTATAAAAAAAAATAACCTTTTAGGAAGGCGCTTAAGAATGTGTTCTGTTACAAACAGACCTTTCCATTGTTGTCATCTGCCATGTTTAAAAATGTGTGTGTTTGCAGTTGCGATGGAGGTGGATAAGCCCAAGACGAGAACTAAAAAGACTTCTGCCTCCAGGGGGAGGAAGCAAAACAAGAGGAAAACTAATCCTGACAAAGAAAGAGGTGATCACTGTTTATTAACTTTGGTGTGCATGTATTACATGCTTTGAAATTGACAAGGAGCAGTTAACCATGTCAGATTATTATTTTTTAAACATTTTAGGTTTTCAAACATTTTGTAGGCATCAACTGTGGGCCTGACTTTTGAAAAAAAAAATCCTGTTGTGTTCTTTGTAGAAAATTCACCTAATTCTCCGTGGGACTCGGCTCCCTCCACACATGAAACTCCCAGGAAGGCCACCAAGTTTGAAAACGGTTGTGACTCCCTCAGTCTTGTAAAAGAAGCCGTTGTGGTTTTGACCAAACTGCCTGAATATAAAATTGGCGCTTTGAGACCCCCAACCCCTCCGCAGTTCTACAGCGAAGATGAATCCTTCAGCAGCTCTGATTCGGACACGCAGTGGGAATCAGAGGAGGATTCCAGCGATTCAGATTTCTGGGTCATAAATAGCAAACTGAAGTATTCAAACTCCTCTAATTGTGACCTGATCAGGATGCCTACAACCAGTCACAACTGTAATGGTAAGATCACTAATTAAACTGCAAAATCACATCATATTAGCGCAGTTTAAAGAAAATACAGCAAAATGCTAAAACAGCATTTATTAAAATAACCCAAGCGTGTCTGCAGTTTTTTCCCTTTGCTCACGTGATAAGATCCGGCCTGACTTACCGGAAGAAGAAATTAAAGTTGACATGGTGGTCATTGCTCGAAGAAGACCCATGAGGTGGCAGCGTGGTAAAATAGTGGAAATCATTAGAAAAGGTAAGGTTTAAATTGAAAGTTTATTTATTTGTTTTACTGCAAGATAAAGTGAAGTTTGTTGCTCTGCAGCTAAAATATACAAAAAGTAGATGTTTTTTTTTATATCACATGCTGATAAAGTTGTTTGCAATCCTTGTAAATTTAATACAAAGTACTTTATTGATCCCATAGGGAATGAGATTTATTTTTTTCTAGATGTTAATAATGGTAGGCAAGAAATATCTTCTGTAGCAGTCTGTGATGCACCAAATCTTATTCAAAATGATTACATATCTGGTCTGCTCAAAGCAGTTTAACTACTTAAGACTGTAAGAGGTACAAGCTCTGATTGTCCAGGGGCTGAATTCCAGTCTCTTATAGCTGTAACTGAGAATTCACTCTAAAAGCTGGTTCAATTTGCATGCTTTCTAAGCCAAAACAAATTTTTTGGTCCACTCTATGAAGCCTCAGACTCGCTGCTAATTCTAATATTTTGAATTAAAAAAGCTTCCTAGATGGGAAGCGAAATGTCTTCAAACATTGAAACAAACTCGAGTGTCTTTTTACTTTTTTGGACTGACTAAAAGCACTTTTCTGGAGAGGAAAAATAAAGTCTTCACAGGTTGTTGATCATTACATATTGTTCCTTTTCTCTTAAAAACTAAATGGTTATCTGATGGGCCTCTCACAATTTTTAAATGTCAAATATTAGAATATTTGATTCCCCTCCCAACTTGAAAATTTATGTTCATGTTAGAAGTGTAATGATGACATCTTGTTTTTATTATTCAGTATTTTTATTGTTTGTATAATTTCTATGAAGTTTTGCTTACTTGTGACCAGGCTCTGTTTCAGAAAGTTGGATAGGCGAGAACATTAGAGAAAGTTCTGGGGTAAATCCCTGCATTTCCTGGATTTTTAGTTTTAGAAAGGCCGATTCCCAATCAGTTACTCTTAGAACCAACTCTAGTTGGTAGCAGGATTATTCTGAGTTTGGTGCCCAGTTCAGCTGAGGTCGTAGATGTCCAGTCTCCATTATTTTAGACTGGAGTGACTGCTGAAGACTTCCCTCAGAGAATGATTATATTGGTTTATTGGAGTTTGTTTGTTGGAGTCATTATTGTAGAAGTAAGGTCTTTTAACATACACGTATCATGCATAGATATCTCTTGTTCTGGAAGAGTTGAGTGATCTTATCTGTAAGACAGGGTTTCTTTTTTTCCCCACAAGCTATGCTAAAAGTTGGCCCTAACCCATTTATCCAATAGATATATTAATTGTGAAATAAGAAACTCTGTGCTATAGTTGATGTTGATTTAAGGGGAAAAATCATCTGCAACTTTGTGATTATTTTCGATTTTTCCATTTATTTAGTTTTTCCCAGTTAATTCCAGGTTCATTTAGGATCAAGCTTGCCTTTCTCTGTTATAGTTCTGAAGAAATCAGCCTTTTCTCCACATATATATTCATTTTTACTACGGTACTATTCCCTAATGTTGTAAAGTTTCTTGGTGCCAGCCAACTTACTTTTTAGTGCATTTTATTAATTCAGTCTCATCTGAATTTATTAGAGGCTGAATGTTTTTCTTATGTCTGTATTTGATTTCATAGCTAAGATTGTTGAAATGCTCTGCATCAATGTTATGGATTGGTCTGTTTTACAATCAGATTCCTGTTATATCTGATCCCAGTTAATCTGATGAACTGCATTTTTAGATTATTCGTTTTTGTAATCCCTGATGGCTCATTTTCTTTGACAGACAAATCAAATCTCTTCATTAATCTCTGATTAGTACATATTAAATCAGAGTACTACTTAGACTTTAGACAGATTTTACTTGTCATTTTGTTTATAAAAGTGTAAAACAAAAAGAAAATTATTTTGGAACAGCTCACTGGACAATTTCATCTTTTTAAAAGTGCAGCCTTGAAAAATAGTAAAAATGACTGTAAATTTCCAGTTCTACCCTTTTTTTTTTACTTGATAAGTTATGTCACTTATTCACTTAAGGTTTGTTTCTTTAAGGTTTATTCTCCCAGTTTTTTTTAATCTAAGATTAGTTTCCATGTTTATATTTAATTTTTTTAGCAACGTTAGTTCCAGCTACTTATACGTCGTATTCTAAGAATAATGTTGATGAATGTATGAGATTTGTTTTGTTCTCTCTGTACAGATGATGGGCGGTTAAAGTACAAAGTTAGTTTTGAAGATAAGGGAACATGTCTTGTATCCGGACACCATATCTCTTTTAACACCAGGCCCAAGGTGGAGCAACTGTATATCGGTGCCCGTGTGGTGGTCCGCTGTCAAAATAACAAGTATCGCTTCCGACCCGGAATACTGGCTGAGCTGCCCAGCAGGAAAAACCAGTTCAGGTGGGTCAGTTTTCCCTCTTTTTCTTTGAAGGAAAAAATATTAAAAAAAAATTTTTTCTCACCTACAATTGAAATGAATGGCTTTGTTTTACTCTGATTTCTTTAATTCAGGTTTTTGATGTTTATGGATGATCACACACCAGTGTACGTCGGGCTCCCTTTATTCCACCTGGTTTGCAGACCATGTAAGTTAACAGAAATGGATATTCAGGACTCTGCAGAAACAAAATGTTTGTCATGTTATCCACTATCAGCATTTCTGTTATATGGGAGTGTAAATTTAAACGCATTCGAAGCTAGAGTGGGAAAGTTGGGGTCTTAATTTTGTAATGTGTTTCATGAGCAAAATTTGTGTGCCTCTGTGTTTTGGAAATTGAATGTGTAAGTTTTTGTGATTATATAGCAAATGTACACTGCAAAAAATATAAATCTCAATAAGTTATTTTTTCTTAAAATAAGTGTGTTTTTCCTTGATTTGAGGAGATAAGTAAGACACTTTGCCAATGGAACAAGACAATTTCCTTTTAAAATAAGAAAAAACTATTTTATCGTCTTATTTCAAGTAAATATTATCTAACTATCTTATTTTAAGAGTGAAAATACTCATTCCATTGGCAAATCATCTTATTTACCTGCTCAAATTAAGGCTAAATATACTTAATTTAAGCCATTTTTTACTTATTTCTGGATTGTTTTTGCAGTGTAGTTAACTGTCCAGCATCACTTCAGTTCCTCTAACGATAATAAAGCTTATGGCTCTCAGTAAAAATATTTTCAAGTAATATAAATTGCATGTAACGCTTGTTACAGCTGAAACATGGATTTGTTACTCTAAAGTTGTACTTCTTTTTGTAATAATTTGGTTCCTAAGTTTGAGAACTGATCCTATAATGGAACTCAAAGACTGAATACATTTTATCAAATGTAGCTTAAGCTTTGTTTTATGCATGTTTAACATATTGCACATATCAATATTGCTGCACATATTACTAATTCCAAAAAGTATTGTTTTGAATGCAGTCACACCAGAGTGTCATCACATCCCAATAAGAAGACCATCCTGTTGAATAGAGACTTTGTGCAGATGTCTCTGTTGAGAGTAGAAATCCAGATAAAGAACCGTAGAATCGAAAGTTCAGAGAAAGATTTTGACATTTTCTCCAATATTAATCTAAACTCCTTAACAGGACACTTCTTCAAATAGAAGTGATGTAAAATAATACGCATTTTTCAGTATTTCTTTTAATTATGGGTGACTGAATCAGTGAATGATCCCACCAAAAAAGAGAGTTACATTTTTCGGGATTCCCACGGGTCATGTGGTAACTGTGGGATTCCTTTAGGATGGGAGTCAATTGGGCCAATGATTACATGATGAGGATGGTGCAGGATAGAGAGTTAGCTGGAGTGGGAACTGGCATTAATTCATTGAATCAATATACAAACAAAAGTACCGTATTAGTAGAATATCTTGCGAGTCTGACTGTATTTTCTCTGTAAGGTGCCTTGAGATGACGTTTGTTGTGAATAAACTGGAGAGGTCCTTCAATCAAAGCCTTGCAGATTGTGCTGAGATTGTGTTTACTAGGGCTGAACAATTTTCCCCCCAAAAAAATCTAAATTGCGATTATTTTTAACCAGTAATGCGATTGATTTTACTTAGATTTTAATTTGCAGTAACCCCAAGATTTTAGATGTTTCACCTAAAGCTTTTAATTTTTAAAAGCGTCCTTCCCCAGAGTCCATTGTTGCAGGAATTTACTTTAACCTTTGCAGGAAATTGTGTTTACTTCTACTTGCATGCATAGATCTGCATACTAGCTACAACTCTCTCTACATTTCTGTGTGGTGACAAACCCACTTCAAGCATTTAGCTGCCACCTACAGGGCTGGAGTGCAATTAATTGCCCAGTCCTAGTCTTTACTACTTTATATATTTAAAACTTGATGATATAATTGAATTTTTTCCCTTCTTCCAACAGTGGAGGATGTTTTGGATGACGTTCCAGACGGGCCGCACAAGTGTTTTGTGAGACAGTACCTTAAGGACTGGCCGTACCCCCATTTAAACAAGTACAGAGCTGGACAGAGCTTTAAAGTGGAGTTAAATGGAGTCATGCAGATGTGTGATGTTGTTGCTATTGACTGCAGCTTAATGCAAGTAGTTTTTCAGGTCAGTATTTTTTTTCTATGTTCAAAAGTTGTGTACATAACTTCAAATAAAAACATAAAATTGGCATAACTGACTTTACTAAAGTTTTGCCATTCATGAAATGTAGTAATTTTAAACAGAATAGGATCAGCAGCTAAAACTAGACTGTTTATTACATGGTCAGTCATTGATATTGCTGAATATCTAATGCAGAGTAAAAAGCTATGGTAGTGTTTTGGTTTATTTTAATCTGTGTGGCTTGAATACATTTAAATTTTTTCATGTTTTGTTTTTTGTAAAGACAAAACTTCAGAAAGTAACATTTCTCTATTGTATGATGATAAATTCCTCAGTCAAAGGCTATACTTGAACATTGATGACACTTCCTGGTAAAATATATAGAAATTGTTTTTTTTTAAGTGTGCTTTTTTTTTTATCTTGGTTTCCATTTCCTAACCTTAATGATTAGCACATCCATTTTGCTTAGTGGCATGTTCCTGTGTCATTCCAATTTCGAAGAGTTTCTTAAAAAGACTGACGTGATGTAAAACTAATTTATGTAAAAAGGAAATAAACTAGTAAAACTTTCTAGAAACTCAGATTAACTTCTTAAGTATATTAAAAATGAGGCTGTGTAACTGCATTTATATTTTCTTAATTAATAAGGTGTTCTTTCCAAACCCATTTCTGTATTTCAGGAAAATCAGCGGCGGGAGTGGATCTTCAGAGGCTCCATGCGACTGGAGCACATCGCCAGATTGTGGGAAGAGAGGAACAAGCTTCTGGCCAAGAATGACTCTGACTCTGATTAATTCATATGTGCAGTTATACAGAGAGGAAAATGGTGAATAATAGTGAGTAATGAAGAAAATACTTGCAAAATAGCAGGGTGTTCAAACTTATTTTCCTCACTGTATATACAATAAAATAGAAATCATGTATGATAAAGATTAACTTTCTTTAAAGAGGTGCTCCCTCTTGTCTTTTCTTTGTAGGAAGGTCAGAAAACATACAGGTGCAAAATAATTGAATTTAAGGCTTTAAAAGTAGCTACCCATCCAAATCTTTCCTTATAGTCTTTATGATTTAAAGTATCTTTCCTTTCCTCTTCCTACGTCTATTTTTAATTATGTTGTACCCAATTAAACCGAACTGTTAAACAGTATCACAGATTGCAAAGCTGAAACCTAGTACCAGTTGTGCTGTTGTAGTCATTTTTAATGTTAATAATTATAAAGTTTGTCATCTGAATATGTTATTAAACACTGATCATGGCAGCATGAATTAAAAACATAGTGTAAATATTTCAGAAAAGCTAAAAGTTTTTGTTGTGTTTTTTTCTTCAAATAAGTGAGCCAAAAGTGTCATAATCTCAGAGACAGCAGATGGTTGCTGTGCAGCAGCAGGTGGTATGAACTACTCTGTTCTAATTATTTGAAGAAAAATGCAGTCAAACAAGCCTTTTCTCCCTATTTTCAACCTTTTTTCTTTATAATTGAACTTTATTGATCTTGCATTGGAGAAATTCACTCTGCATTTAGTCTGTGGGAGTGGAACTCGGACTCAGAATCTAAGGATTCCAAGCTCTATGCCCTAACCACTAGGCTGCCACTGGCCTTTAGGACTTTAAACTGTATATATGCAATGATTTAAAATCTCATAGCAGTTATGAGACTTTTTTTTTGGCAGTAAAACAAGTGTTCATGTTCTGGAGTGAATATAAAGACCGGTTTTTCCAAAATCACACTTCCTTGGTTTTCTGTTTAGCACATTACAAAACCTTTCCTTTGGTATCACAGCACCAACAATCAGTTCTATGACTTGAACTATATATTTTGTATCCACTCATACCCTAATTTCCAAAGCCTGGTAATAAAACTAGCTTCTAACAACTCTGCTTCATGTTTTGCTTACTTTGCTATTTTCATTCTGTCTTCGCACCTCAAGCTATTCTAATCTCTATAAGATGATGTCCTCACCTGAAAGATCTAAAACGACTTTATTTTAAATCAAACTAAAATCTGCTGGAGGCTGCTGACCTTTCACATACGTATAGTTGCAATAAGTTTCTAAACATTAAGTACATGCTAAGTGAAATAAGATTTCTATACGTAAACTGCAATTGTTCAACAATGTAAAGCAAACAACTCCTCCCTCTCAAGACTGTATTAGGCTTTTATTTTTTAAGTTTATAACTTTGCATTTTATATCTAAATCTTACTATTTTTTTTCCTTATATTTGCTGCTTCCAGGTCTTTCTCCTGCTTTTTTGTCTTATTAAAAAACAATCTATTTGGGTTTGATTGCAGATTCTGCTCAAATTTATCTACAATAAAGTTTGTACTTCAGTTGGATGGATTGAAAATCTTTGTATTACACAGTTTGTATTGGCTAGTTTTCAAATGCTGGCCTTTTATTTGAGTAGGTTTTGATTTAATTAATGTAATACATCACAGCAGATGTGTAACTTAAAATGATGCTGGAATAAAAAAGGAAAGGTGACTTGCATGGAGACACAAACCTTGGTCTCAATTAGAGCTATAAAATGACTTTCTTGTAATTGTTATTCAGTGTAAACTTAATTTGCATGAAGATGATGAATTGTCCACAATTATAAACTCGGCAACAAACTTATCTAAGCAAGTAGTGGTAAGTAAAAACGAGGTTTAAGTTTAGCAAGAAACACAGCATCTTACTTTGCTTATGTTTTTATTTTAACATGTTTACTAGATGTAATCTAACGCTAAGAATAGCCAGGTGTACATTTATTTGCAACATGTAGGAGTCATTATATGGACAGTAGTTGATTCATGCTTTAGCCAGCCATAAAATAAAGCCAAAAATACCAATAAAGGATGGCAATACAGTATATAATTAATGCTAGATAATATAACAGGTTAATATCAGTTTTATCCCGTTCTTGTGATTTTGATTTGCTAAAGTTAATAAAAAGAGGATCATGCACTTAGTTTAAAGTCTATTTTAAACTATATGATGTAAGGGATGGAGGATCAGAACAAACTCTTTAAATAACACCTCATAACATTTATTAAATAACCATGAGACATGACAACAGATTTTGATAGAAATTGTAATCTTAGTTGAAGTTGCTTAGAGTTATAGAAGCAGCTGCATACCCCTGGGCTTACTTTTCGCGAAGCAGCCCCGATTAACAGTTAAGTATCTGAAAGGTCGGTCGTTAAAGGGAATTCTTGACCTGGCTGAATAGGCAACATCCTCCGCTCTGCTGTACAGGGGTTGGGGTTGCGATGATAGTGCGAAGGGATTAACTCGATTGCTGCATTGTAGGTTTTTGAAACCCGAGTTCACCCCCTCTCTTTAAGGTTGGTTTTAATTTCTTAACATAGATAACTTCCTTCAACCCCCTCTCAAACCACCTATTTTCTTTTTCCAAAATGTGAACATTCTGGTCCTCAAAAGAATGTCCTTCGTCCATAAGGTGTAGATGTACTGCAGTCTTTTTCCGAGGAGGTCGCTCTTCTGTGTTGGGCAATGCGTCTGTAGAGAGGTTGTTTGGTTTCTCTAATATAAATCATATATTATATATCATATATCATCAGAGCATTCCTCACTGCATTGAACTGCAGACACCACTATGCTCATCTTAGGTCTGGGGGTTTTGTATTTAGGATGCACTAGTCTCTGACTAAGGGTCTTGTTTGGTTTCAAATGTACTGGGATTTTGTGTTTGGAGAAAAAAAACATCTTCAAACTTGGAAACAAAGTCAAGTAGTTTTTAATTTTCTTTTTTTGGAATGACTATGATCTGGATGACTGAGAATCTTCACCAACACATTTTACATCATACACGTTAGCAGATGAGGAGACATCCATGCCTCCAGCCTTATCAAAATATTACACTCTGTTCTTAGCTGAAGGACACCGCTCTGATTCCATTCCCAAATATTACATACAAAATGGAAGAATATAACTGTATATATACTTAATTAGATAGTTCTGACATGCAACGGGCAGCTAATATTAAGTATAATAAACTCACATCATCAATGATAATTATCCTACGGAAGAGGATTAGGGCCACTGAAAAAATAAAAAAAGTTAACTGTTTTTTTTATTTTATTTCAGTATAATATGACAAACCTCAGAATTCTGACTTTAATCTCAGAATTTTGACAGCTAAGAAACATGTTAGCATCAAGCCGTAGCCATGTCTGTTTTAAAGACTAACCCAGCTCTCTTGTTTTAACCACCTTCTGCTTCTCCATTAATAAAATAGAAACCACCAGGGACCCCTCGGGCACTTAAAAAGTCACCTAATTCCGTAACCTTCCGCCAACTTGTTACTCCTAAACAACTCACATCTTTTTCAGTGAAGCTGAGTGCTCCCACATCTCTTCCTTTAGGGTGACCATCTACATTTAATATCCCAAATTCTGATATTAAAGTCAGAATTCGGACAAAAAAAGGCAGAATTCTGAGCAAAAAAAGTAATAATTCTGAGAATAAAGTCAGGATTCTGAGAAAAAAGTCCGAATTCTGACCTTTTCCCCATATTAAAATGAAATACAATTTTAAAAAATCAATTAACTTGTTTTTATTTTTTCAATGGCCCTATACTCTTCCATATTATCCCAACAGTTTAATAAAAAAAGTAATCAAAATTACTGTACTTTAACTTGTGTGTATTCCTCCACGCCAGGTGGTGGCGGTAATGCACCAATTCCTCACTTCCCGAGCGACCGTTTAGCTTAGAAGAACAACGAATGGTGCACCCAGGAAAGGAAAGGCTTCTCTACAGGTAAAATGCTAACCATGTTGGTTTTTGTTGACAAAAAAATAAGATGCCGTAGCAGTGATGCTGTTTTTAGGAAAACAAGTGAAACGTTGATCGAAGTATTTTCAGATCAAATGTGATTACAAGATGGAAACTGAATGTTATTGTAACTCCAATGTGACAACACTGGCACGGCTTCCTTTAGACGGGCTCTTTATTAAACGCCGTGAAAAATACAGAAATAGAAGACAAAGTTTTAGATATCGATACATTTACAGAAAATCAGGTAACACTGGCTTTAACAGAAGTTACCTCGTGACCGCCTGCCACTTCGGAGGTCTTTAACAGTTAAATTCTTCCTTGTCCACTCTAAATAAAAATATTAAGTAATTAAAACACCATAACCAATAACATTGCAAAATATTACAAACATAACTAAAAATACCTTAACAGCTACAGTAAACACAAGGCTGCTCCGCATAGCTCTGATCCAAGCTTCTGCTCCTTCTGTGTTAATTCAAATTGCGTTGCTTTTCACATACAAATCTCGCGATAACTTTCAACAAAAAATAGCTCAACACAAAAAATAATGCAATCATTTTACACTTTCCCAAAACGTGAACCAAACATGAAATACATTTTCTTAACTATTAGAAATAAACAGAAATTTTTCCAAGAAATAAATTATTTTACTGACACTTACAGTTATTATAAACATTGCTAACAAATTTGCTTTAGCTACTCTTTTGAAACGGATCCCCTGAAAGCATGAAGTAACACTTAGAAATCCAACAACTTTGACATTAGTCTAAGTATAATTATCGGTAAATACTGGTTTTATAGTGGCTCCGATGAGAAAATGTTTCTTTTTTTTTTGTTGTCAGTAAAAAAAACAACAACAACAAAGTAAGTTGAAAGATGTTCCTTTTTGAACATCTCTAGCAAATTCCTCTCATAGCAGCTCAGACTGGTTTTTAAGTGCAGATGTTGTGTGTCCATCTCTGCTGGATCCAGGATATCTCCCTGAGCTGTCCTCTATTTATCTGGGGATGAATGCAAGTGTATGGCATGCTTTACACATTTTATTCGTGAAATGATAAACAATGCAAATTAGAAATGAATTGAATAACTATGCCATACTTTGTGTTGTTCATGGACACAAACCCCCCTAATTGAAATGCAATATTATATGAAGAATGCAATGTAGTGAGTGTTATATGAGTAGCGTTATCTAAGTAAATTAAATGAGGAGTTTGACACCTTTATGTTAGGATTCCTTTTGTTTTCCGTCTAAAATACATCCTTCGTAGCTAGAGCTTAATTAGGGTGTCATTCCTCCCGGACTCTTACTGCGTTCTCTGTCTCATCTTAACCGCTCTGGCAGAACACCGCTATGTTGAGCCTGGTTCTGCCAGAGGTTTCTTCCCAACAGGGAGTTTTTTCTCTCCACTGTTGCTTCATGCTTGCTCATCATGGACAGGTTCTCTCTACCTGTATTATCCAACTGGACTTCCATCTTCCAAGTCCCTGAGTGAAGCTCTAGTATCAGCTCACTCAGTCCACTGGATCTCCCCATAAAGCTGAGCATACCATCTCACTAACCAGCAGTCTACAGACTGACTAAATTCATCTATCTCCACTCCACCACCAGTTTCAGGCCTGGGGGAAACAGCCCTATTCTTTGCCCCTTTTCATGCATATCTATCAAAATTCAGCTCTAAGTTTCCTGCTGAGGTCTGAGCGCCAAAAACAAAGTAATTGTATCAATACATTTCTCCTAATTGTCTTTTCTCATCGTGTCAGTTTTTCAGATTGAATTGCTATCAACTAAAAATCAACAATAAATTTCATTTAAAAGCATCTTTCTGAGGACTTTCTTCACCCCAAATGTGAGGAGCTGTAGGACTGGGTTAAGGTGATGAAGAAGATCAATTCTGAGCTGCTTTAGGAAGGGATTTTTAATGAAGACCAAACAAGGAAGAGTTACAATGGTCAAAGCGGGAGGAACCAAGATTATGGATAAGAATAGATGCAGGAAGAGGGACAAAGACTTTCAAAGTTACATAGATGTGAGAGATGAGGGATGGACTGATGGGGGAAGGGTGTAGTTTTCAAGTAAAAGGGAAAAACTCTTAGCTTTTCATCGTACCGATTTAGTTTCTATGAGAAGGAGATTTTTTATTTTGTTTGTTTTTTTACTGTTAGGTTTGAGGAAGTCTGTGGTGAACCACGATTTTAATTAAACTAAACAGGATGTTGGAGGAAGGGTGGAATTTAGCGCACAACACAGAGAGAGCCGGGTATCATCAGTAAAACAATAGAACTAGATATTATATTTAAAAAAGAAACTGAAGATAGGAATAATATGGATGATAAAAGGTGAGGGTTCCTGGACAGAGTCCTTGGGCACATTGGTTGTTTTTGTTAAGTTCTGAAGGACTTGACCAAACCAAGACCGTCCAGGCCAGAGAAATTATAACACAATATACCTTCATTATAGTCAAAAAGGTATAATTTCAATATCGGTGTAAACAAATTGAAATCCTCAGATAAACTACCAAGAATAACAGTTGCTTGTATGAATGTATAACAATATTGTATATATATTGTAACAATATAACAACTGCTATGTTAAAAAAAAAAAATCCTGCAACATAACATTTGTTGGGACTTTTCTATTTTATTTTAGCTTATCCTGTATTAAATTTGTGTATTATCTTGTAATGTAAATTCCTTTATTGTCCCACATTGGGGACATTCACTCTCTGCATTTAACCCATCCCCTTGGGGAGCAGAGGGCTGCCATTTTGTGGCGCCCGGGGAGCAGTTTGGGGTTAAGTTTTTGCTCAGGGACCCAGGGTGGAGGCTGTGGGGATGGACCGGGTACTTGCAACCTCTAACCAGTAGGCCAACACTCGCCAGTAGACTCTTGTGAAAGTATCCCTTTGCAGGTGCCAGGAGGTGAATGTTTTTCATGTGCATAACTCAAGGTCACTGCCTGCATGAAGAAATATGTGTGTATCATGCTGCAACTTACTCCCTACACATTTCTTTAGAGTAGGCGTGATCTATTGTAACTAGGGACTCCCTTTTTCCAATAAAGAGTGAGGAAGACAGCAGAGGTGCTTTTGAGCAGTGGGAGATTGTAACTGATGTCCTCTCTGCTGCTCTCCCTGCGAGTAAAAATAATCTAATGTCTCTTTTCCTTCTCTCCCAGGTTATTTGATAAGTGTTTGGGTGTTTAAACCCAACAACATTCAGCTGGTCTCAAATATCAAAGGCAGCGGTGAATAATTCAGTTCCAGAAAATAAAAAGGCCTGTATAGAGATTAGTTCCAACCATTTCTAGCTTCATAACACAGACTAGGAGCTGATCACCTGGTTAAATGAAAAAAAGTGATGGAAAACTATGCAGAGTTTTTACCTTCTGGTTCTATATCCTCCTCTGATCACAGGTATGCAGAACATGAAGGCATTGCTCTTGAAACATGGCATCTTTCCAAAGAGTCCAATATTGCTCAAAGCAAATTGCTTTTGCAGACATTTAGGGGACAAATTGGTAGCTCAGATTCTCAGTGAATTTAGGATTGAGTCTCATATGTGCAAGCTTAACAACACCTGATGAACTTGCCTCTATTATCTTACCCTCTTGTTTGTTGCAGTGATGATGGAAGAGAAAGAGGTGGAGAAAAGCAGTGAACAGCTCCAAAGCTTGATCGCAGATGGAGTTCATAAGGCCATTCTGACTTCTCCAGGTATACTGAAGAAATACAGTCTGCTGAAGGCTCTACTTGAAAGGAGGCAGAGACAGGCTACCAGATTTTTGGAGCTTTGCGAGTAAGTATTGTCACTGTTTCTGTTACTTGCATCTCTACTGTTTTTTAACCTGACATTGGCATTTTGATGAAATTAAACTCTTAATATTTTTAAAACCAGCTGTGATCACTGTTTGACTTAAACAAACTCATTATTTATGAAAAAAATATAAAGAACTCTTTGGTTGTAAGAATGTTTCAAAGGGACGCAGCATCATCTACTGCGTTTACTAACTTGTCATATAGTGTAGCTTCTGTTGCAACAGACCTCTGTGGTCTTTTTCCCTAGTTAACACTATATATGCTCAGATTTATGAACATGGCCTGCATTTTTATCTCTGTTTAAATATTTGTATTTAGTGTTTACATCAAGAGGAAAAGGGAGATAAAGTCCAGTTATTTTTTTAGGCAAAAAACTTGGAGAATAAAACTGATGCTGAAGTTATGACTCTCTCCTCTCCATTCTCCTCTCCTCCTCTCCATTTGACTGAAAAAAGGCAAAATGTTTCTAAACAGCTTTGACTAACAGGCCACCCTGTGATGTTAGATCAGCTAGAATATTTCTATTACACTTTTTAAAATAATAAAAATGTCATTAGCAAATAAAAGCGTAAGCATTAAGCCATAATGCAGATCTGACATAGCTCACTCTGCACTTTGTTGTGTTCAGGCTATACATTTTTTCTTCAGGAAATGCTATTTTTTTTTTACAGTTTTAGTCTCATCTGAGTACCATAACTTCTCCTATAAGTTGCTGTGTCCTGGAATTGTATCTACAGGAATCAAATATGGAGTATTTGTTTAACTTTAGGGGGAAAAAAAGCCTGATGATGGAAAATGTAATCTGATTTCAGAATCAGAATCACTTTATTAATCCCTTGCAAGTACAATAAACTAAAACAAAATATAATAAGACAGAATAAAATTAGTAAGTAATATAAGTAAAATTACAACGCACACAGTAAAACGACACCCTTCCCATATAAACAGTGTAATATAAGATATAGGAATAAATGCGGATGAGAAGAGGGACTAGGGTCAGCACCCCCCTCCTTTGACATCTTGCAATATTCTTCTCTCTCACTTAGGGCTGCAACAACGAATCGATAAAAATCGACTTTTAAAAGCGTTGGCGATTAGTTGTGTCGGGCGATTAATGCGTCATCCGCCGTCGCCGTCATCACATCAACTTGACTGAAATGTAGGAAGAAAAAAAAATACGGCAGAGCGAGTTAGCGCCGCAGGTGCAATGTTGCCAACTCAGCGGCTTTTCAGACCCCTCCAACGACTATTTTTCGAAAAAGCGACTAGCGACAAATCTGGCGACTTTTTACGGTGTCACTGGCGGCTTTTGGAGACTCCTACGTGAAAGCATGTATCGTTCCTACTCTGCAGTGGGGCGCCTCCCCCATCCCAACCCCGTTCTCCCGCTATCGCAGGAGTCCCTCTCAGCACTGCAATCAGAGCCGCAGGATGTTTACCCTCAGCGTCCAGACTGCAAATGAAGCGCGCATGCGCCGGGATTGACGGCGCAAATTGATCACAATAATTAAAATAGCCTGCGCTTTGTAAAGTGAAAAAATTCGTAACATGCAACTTTTGTCAAAACAAATTAACATGGCACGGAACCACCATGTTTGTTTCGTTTTAAAGTGGGGAAACGTAACGTTAGTTTCTCGGGTAGCTCATCTGATGCTTTCCTTACCGTGTTAGTAGGTTACAGACAGTGATAAGGTTGGCTACTTATTTTACTTTTAATTTCATTTGAATTAGCTTAAGCAGCGTTTATATTTTCTTTATAAATAAATTAACTTGCACATTATGAGGGCAAGGCTTTTAAAGTTTAAATCTTCTGGCAAAGATAAAGTAAAGAAGATCCTGCAATTTATGGAAGTAAAGCAGAATAAAATCCAGCAAGATCAGTAATATGTCAATTAATTATATGCCACATTCCCATGTAAATATCTGTCTTTGGAGGATGTGTTTTTTAGCACCCCTAGTTCTCTCATTTTTATTCCAAATACAATTTATAATTTGAATCACAGGGCCATTTTTATCTCTGTGGTTCAGTATTTTCTCAAGTAGCAACTTTAACTGCTATACTTTCCTGTCTTAAAAGGCAGAACTCTTCTAGTCTAAAAAAACTCATTTGTTGAAATGGGGGGACCTATTGTTTGAACCCCTTAGGGGCTTTTAAAAACAAAAATTTCTTTTTTTTGCACTTTATGAAACAAAGTACCCTGTATTTTGTGGATGTACAGCTACATTTCTCATGTAAGTTTGCGTAGTTTTAACACAAACATTTATTTTTCATATTGCACCAGTACAGTTAATGAGCAACCTGTACTTGTGTGCTTGTTTGCTCTGTCTAAAATGTTTATTTTGGAATAAAGAGGTTAATATAAAAAAATATTTTTTGATCGATTAATCGAAAAAATAATCGGCTGATTCATCGATTTTTAAAATAATCGTTAGTTGCAGCCCTACTCTCACTGTGCAATAAGCACATGTCAACTACTGTGTAGCCTGTGTAATTTTTTATTAGGTCAGCGCATTTCTGCAGTGCAAGTTCAACAATCCAAGTCAACTACTATGTAGTCTTTCCTGAGCTCTCTACTGTGCAGATATTTTTATATCTAAGGGAAACATTCCAGGACATTACAACTTTTTTAAGCTCTTTGTACTATATACACTCTTTTTATATTGTATGTTGTATTTCTAACTTTAATGGCACCTTGCTTTAACCCTTTGCACTCTATATTAGCTACTGGAATAAGAATTTTCCTGAAGGAGTAATCCCAAGTGATAAATATAGTTGAATCTAAGTGTCCGTCAGGCCGACCTTATGTCTGTAGGTCTGAGAGTGCATTCAGCCTGGGAGCTGGGGGAGGAGGTGTGAAGGGGGGCCATTGCAGGAAGATGAAGGGCTGTGTGATGAGGGAGGGAGAGAGTGAGAGCATGGAGTGGGGGCTGGCTGCAGGTGAGCAGGGGTCATGGTCGAATCTGTTGAAAAACAGATTCATGTCGTTGGCCACGCCCACACTGCGTTCCTCTCCTCTGCTGCTGGAAGATTTGAGATTATGGACTTTAAATGCAAGAAAATTTAAACTTTAACAGTAGTGTTTTTAGTCATTTCTCACCGTCTGAAAACTCTATATAGGAGTTAGTCAGATTTACTGGCTTTTTTTAATTTAATGTGTTGTAGGTCTGCGTTGGTATTTGAGAACACGGTGAAAGAGCTGTACTCTCATTTGGAATGGGAGTACACCGAACTGGATTCAGACAGTAACCACGGCACTAGAACCACACGCTTCAGTAAGTGAGGAAATCCCCCTCATGAATTATTGTTCAACCGAACTTCTCTTTAACTTTGGCTTTCTCAATCTGCAGTGGTCTGAAAACAAATCTGCAAACAAATTTTTTTTTTTTACTTCTCCTGATTACACCTTTATGTTTCACTAAAACCGGTTTAAAATCTTCTTTCTTCTTTTTCTTCAGGAGGTAGCATCTCCAGACCTCCATCCTCCTCAGTTACAACTCCTCAGGCATCATCTCCCGAAAATGAAGAAAATCAAGAGAAAATGAATCCTCAGACAAGCTCCCCTGACATTTTAAACAAAAACGTGAAGGTGGTTTTGAGACGCCTTGAAAGTTCAGCGGTTGCTGCTACTAATTGCCCGGCTTCACCCGATGCCCACAACGAGGAAGATGTTGAGATTATCTCTGATGAGTCGTTAGTCGAATGGAAACCAGATGGAGAGAGGAGTGAATCTGAGTCTTCTGACCCAGACTTTGTTATGAAAAAAAAGAGGAAAATTAAAGCAAAAAGAAGAAAAGATAAGAAGGTAAACCCATCTTCCAAAAGAAGGCGGCAGTCTGCTCCTAAGGCAAGGAAGGAAAACACTCCAGTGTCTACATCCAATACAGTTTCTTACATTGTTAGTGATAACAAATCGTCAAGCTCACCAGAAACCTCAGATACAGATCATGAAGTCTGCCAACAAGAAGCAACAGCATGGCGGTCCAACTCTACGAAAACCGCAGCGCGTCTCTCCACTAAGAAAACAGAGACATCCCAAAACCATGCAAAACCAGCAACAAAAACTCAAGACCAATCAGCACCCAAAGCTGTGGTTTTAAAAACGACGACCAAATCCAACACAGCAAACACGACAGCCCAAGCTACCAAAACACCGCAGTCCCTTACAGACGGCTCTGCAGGCAAAGTGATTAAAACATTCACGACTAAAGGTAAAAAAAAAAAAAAAAACACAAGTTCTGGAATGTTTTCGGTACAAAAACGGTCGTTTTTGGTTTCTAATGATATTTACAATAAATTTTGTCTCTAATGAAAATTACATGGGTATTTATTGTGAAAATGCAGAGGAATCAGCTGCACAGAAAGGTACATTAGAGTTTAATTTTTAGTGCACTAACCAATATATAGTAGAACTCTTTAAGTTTTATAAAGTTATGGGCTATAGCATCCTAACATCCAGTGTTAATAGAATGTAGAATGCTTATCCTTGAAGACATATAAAGGTTTCTTTTTTATAATTCAACATACAATAATTATTGTATGCTTTTTGTTTTGACAGTAGGGACCCCTGCGAGCGAAGGGACGTCTAAAACGGTCAAAATAACTCGAATTGTGCCAAAAGGAGAAATTAAGGTGAACATGAATGTCTTGGCGAGAAAGAAATCTATGTGCTGGGAGCGAGGGAAAGTTTCAGAAATAATTACAAGAGGTAAGGCTTCATAGTTTTCATTTATGTCCCTTTCAAACATCACAAAGTAATTTGAAACTGTAAAATGAAAAACAAAAACATCTGTTTAATCACATCCCTGTTGCTCTGGTGTGATAGATGTTCTTTTAGGACTTCTCTGTTCTTAGCTAACTCCTCACCTTTAACCAGGATTCCTGTTCCTGCTGATTAAAATCATCCCCCAGCATGATGGTTACACCACTTTGTTTCAGCTTGCACATGGTGTATTGAAGTTGATATTTCTGCTTCACGTAGTTCCATCAATTTGAATAAAAGTAATTTTTTAATTAGATTTTTAATTACAAAATAAAGATAACCAATGATTGCCAGAAAAAAATATATATATACAAATAATTCTTTTTAAATGTGTGTTTTTTCTTTGATTTAAGATAATAGGACAAATTGTCAGTGGAATAAGATGATCTATAATTAAAATAAGAAAAAACATTACAAAAACATTATCTTATATTAAGTGCATGATATCTTAGTATCACATTTCAAGGGAATGATATTCATTCCATTGACATATTATTTAATTAACCTGCTCAAATTTAAGTTATTTTTAGAAATGTTTACTTATTCTTAGATAATTTATTTGTCCTTTCTGTTGGTTAAGTATCAAAATCGCATTAACATAAATCAAAGTTGGAGGCTATAATTTGGGGAAAGCAAAATCAAATCCAGTGACTAAAGCTCTTAAACCTTTAATTATTTGTTTAATGTTTGTTTGCTTTTGACAAATACATTATGGACTATTTCTCTTCTGGCCAACAACTCTGTAGGATCTGCTACATTTGACTGACCACTTCAGTGTTGACTGATTATGTTCTATTCTTTTGTTGTCTTATTTCTTAGACAAAAACACGAGTTGTCCTAAACAGCTAGAGAACCACTCTGTAAACCTTTTTTAAGACTTTAACTTTCTGGAAGTTTGCAGCCATTCTATAAAAAACAGTCTGTAAATGGAGAAATGTTTAAGGTGGAATTGTTCCTATAACCCTGGTTATCAGCCCTAAATGAAGAATTTAAGACAATAATTCCTCTTTTAAGAAATGTAGCTCACTAATGGTATTTTTCTCCTCATTGCAGAAAGTGGTAAGGTGAAATACAAGATCACTTTTGCGGAAAAGGGAAAAGTCCTTGTTTCCGGTCACCACATTGCCTTTGATGGGTTGCCAAGGTTGGAGGATCTGTCTTTAGGTTGTCGTGTGGTGGTCAAGTGTCCGAATGAGACCTTCCAGCCCGGTATACTGTGCGAGCTTCCCAGCCGAAAAAACCGCATGAGGTCTGGATGTGTTACTGAATACAGAAAACCCATTAATTTACATTTAAATTGATTCAAATGAACTTAAACTGTACAGTTGAATGAAAATGTGTCTTGGTTTCTAGATTCCTGGTGTATATTGATGACCACACGCCCATTTATGTTAGCTTACGAGAACTTTTTCTGGTGTGCAGACCATGTAAGTCCAGATTCCATCAGTTGATCATATTGTTTATGGTAATAGATTAATTACTGATTGATTTGAAATGGTGGTGTTAATAGTCCGGCAGAAATATTGTATGAACGCTCCTTATACAACTCAGTTTGAATAAAATATTTCACAATTGTTATGTAAATCTTTTAAATAATGAAAATTCCTAATTATGTCCAGATTTGGGGAAAAAATAGCAGTTAGTGTTATGATGTAAAATCAGTAGAAACCATGCAATTGGAGATCTACAGCAGTTTACCGACATAAGAAAAAGAACATAACCAGACTAAATTTTTACTGTCCATGTTTGCCTAGATAATTTATTTTTGCTAATGGCCAAAAGAACATTTTACTTTCTTTAAATCAAATGTTTCAGTAGTTGGTAGCCGTGCCTGTTAAACTGTATTCCTTGGCTACAATGTTTTGAATTTAGTTTGCAGGCGTTTTGACATATTTCTCCAGACAGAATCGCTATAACTAAGTCCTTCTAAGTCCTACTTCTGCCCACGATTAAACTTAGTAGTTTATGTCTCTGAAATACTGCTTAAACTCCTTAAGGTCATTTTGTTTGAACACTTAAACTTTATTGTAACGATTGGATTTTGGCCCCTATGGGATTTTTTTTTTCTTTCTGGTAGCTTTTAGAGTAGAGGCTTCATTCTCACATAGAACTGTATGTACTTGTGTATCTAAGGGAACATTTTGAGACTAGTGCTGAAACTAAGGATTATTTTTGCAAATTGATTAATCTATCCAGCGTTTTTTCTATTAATCAATTAATAATCGGATAGCCAAAGGTTTCTTAAAGAAGATTTTTAAAATAAAATTAAACCAGGTGAAACTTAAACTTAAACTTTTCTACGTGATTCACTCTGTCAGCTTAAGGCATGTTTTAGAGTCTCTACTCCAGTTAACAATCGATTACTAAATTGGTTGACAATTATTTCAATAATCGATTAATCACTATTAATTGTTTCAGCCGTATTTGAGACATCTGAAAACGTATCTAAGGGCTGAAACGATTTATCTTTATTAATCGATTATTGAAGTAGCAGTCAACTAATTTAGTAACCGATTAATCGTTAACTGACTGGAATATAAAGACTATAAAACACAACAGAGCAACCCACTTAGAGCATTAATTATACCAAAATTGTAAAAAAAAAAAAAAAAAAAACTTTTGCATTTAAGATAAAAAAACAACAACTTTTTCCTCTGTCAATATGCTCTATCCAGAACTCTTCAAGTGGAAAAGTCTAAGTTGCACCTGGTTTAATTTTGCAAAAAGTCTTCTCTAAGGAACCTTTGGTGATCCGATTATTAATCGATTAATTGAAAAAATAATTAACAGATTAATCGATTTGCGAAATAATCATTAGTTGCAGCCCTAATGATGTTGCACAAGGAGGCAGAATGTTTGAGGCATTTTTGATGCGTTTTGGAATTTCTTGCAAGTAAACACCAAAAAGCCAATTCAGAAAGTGTGGAGGTGAAATTTAAGCAATGACTCCACATCTTGTCAAAACTTATTGACTTTCAGAAGTCTTTAATTTTGAAACATTTTGTAATGTTGCAGTCACAAACCTTATTTTCCTGTGCAGCTTTGCTTTTCATAGTTATTTATTGGAAGGAAAACAACAGGGGAAAATGTGTTTGTACCCCCATATAAAGATGTTTTCAACGAGTGACCTGATTAAATATAAATCCAGCTGTCCTGAACAGGCCTCACATGATTGTTTGTGATATAACTGCATAATTAGGAACAAGGAGCACTCAATGTGATCTGCTAAATAAAAGAACATGAATAAACTGATGACATTTTCACACACACAACATTCATTTGGAGATGTGTTTGTAAGGTGATAAAATGAGGAATAAAACTTTTAGAGAGAAATACCAAAAACCAACCCATTACGTTAATGTGAAATATCAGTTTGTCTTACAAATGTGTACTGTTCCTAAGGTAGAATTGAATTTTTAAATCAATTGTACAGAGCACAGATCTGTTCTGCCATCACAAAGGAAAATCTTTTTCTTTTTGACAGTGGCAGATCCTTTAGAAGAAATTCCTGATGACAACCACAGAGTATTCATGCAAAATTATTTAAAACTCTGGCCTTACCCGCATCAGCTCCAGATAAAAGTTGGAGAGACTTTAAAGGCTGAATATAAAGGCGTGATGCAGACATGTAAGATCATCACAGCTGATTGCAGCTTAATTGAGGTCATTTTTGAGGTATGTGTCTATGAATGTGTATTTAGTACATTCATGGGCGTAGGTTTGCATAGGGACCATAGGGACATGTCCCTACCAAAATTTTGAACCGACCTAATTGTCCCTACCAATAATTGGAGCAACATGTTTATAATTTACAGCAGTAGTTGTTGCAGCAGTGGCTTCTTTTCCTCTCGCAGCTCCTCTGCCTGGTCTCTCCTGTCCCTTTCACGCAGCAGCGCATGGAACTGTGCTGTGCTGTTTAACTCAACTCTCATTGGTTGTTCTGCCTTAAGTTCCGCCTTCCCTCTCTCTGATTGGCTGTTTTCTAGTCTGCGTGTGCTTGGAGCACAACATTGAAAATGTATTCACACTAGAATGCTGCGGTTACTACAATTAATATTAGGCTACAAAACTAGTCCCAATTAAAAAAAAATGAATATCATGTACACTAAAAAACAAAAACCTTTTTTTTTCCTGTTATAAAGCGAAATATTCTGAGTCAGCCAGGAGTAAAGACAAGAACAAACTTGAGGAAGAATATTAATATGGATTTCATCTTACATAGATTTCCACACATTCTATAAGTAAATTAGTACAAACATTAATGTCTGGTAAAAATGCTTGAATCTGGCTGTTTATTTTGTATATTATTAAATTACAGATAAGATAGTGTTATATTGTCTTTTATAATTGTTAAACGTGATTTTATATTTGAATACACTCATTCTACGGCTTTAAATCATATACATACACATATATACATATATATGTATATATATGTGTGTATATATATATACATACATATATATATATTGTATTTTTACAATTTTGGTATAATTACTGATCTAAGTGGGTTATTCTGTCGGGGAAAGGCACATTTTACATTTATATTACTGTATGTTTTAAAGTCTCTATACTCCAGTTAATGAAATAAATTACATACTAAATTAGTTGACGATTATTGAAATAATCAATTAATATATTTAATTTTTTTCAGCCCAGGATAAAATACATGAAATGGGCTACACAGAGTAACTACAGCCCAGATGTTCAACTTTTATAGTGAAGTTAATATTTTAATGAATGTATTATTTTTGCTTGATACAGAGAGAGCATAGTAGGTAAAATATAAGAGTGGGGTTTAACTCTGCACAATTCTATATCTTCAAAGGAAAATCCTGTATTTACTTTCTCTCTTAGTCGTTCAAATGAAAAGATTTTCAAAGTGGAAAACAGTCCTAATTCCACATTCATCAGAGCTGGTGATACTTCAAACATTGATAAACAGCATCTAATGAGTGTAGTGCTTTTAAAAATGTTATTAATGTAGCAAAATTATGCTTTTCTCTTTTAACAATGAATTCCTCTTATCAGTACGGATGCTCACATCGAGCATAAAAAAGGGCATGAATATTGCATAGCACCAATGACACCCGACCAATAGTGTCCCTACCAAAGTTCAAATCAAACCTACGCCCTTGAGTACATTAAATAATGTAATTTATATAACTTTGAATGAAAAATAAATTTCTGTTTATTTTTGACTTTAGAGTGATCAACATAAGGAGTGGCTCTACCGAGGCTCGTTACGTCTGGAGCATATGCTCCATATGAATCAAAAGTCGCAGCAGAATTCAACAAAGTAGCTTAATTGGAAAGAGGTACGTGTTAAATGAAATAATTTGACCGATTTGTCATCATAATATTAATTTTGACTGTTTTTTTTTTTGCTCACTAGGATCATTGAAGCCAACGTATTGCGTAAAGGAGGAAGATGACCATCTCCTGGTGCACATATTCCAGAGGTTTTCCAAATTCCTCTGCCATTAGGAACTCATGTACAGCTTTTCTTAAGTCACACTGCAATGCTCGGCCTGCAGCGGTATCTAAGTTGAAAGCTTTCTGCGGGTTGTCCAAAAGCCCATGTTAATATTGAGTTCTAGAAGTGACGGGCCTGTCTCCAAAAAAAAAAAGACAAAACGGTGCCTGCATGCTGGGAAAGAGCCAATGATTTTTGAGCCACTTAAGGTTATACCTCAATGAAGTTCCTGAGAACTCTTAATTTTCCAAATATGTTGAATTGTTGCTACGTTTTTATAGTATGTTTAAAATATGTTTTTTTGGGAGTATTACTTTCCAAATACTCTGTATTTAAAATAAAATTTATCACATCTTCATCATGTATGCATTAGTTACTGTAATTAAGAACACATTAGATTAAATTAGATTAGATTTGATTCAACTTTATTTTGTCATTACACAGTTACAGGTTCAAGGCAACGAAATGCAGTTTAGGTCTAACCAGAAGTGCCATAGCAGCAAGTGCAGGATAAATAATGGTTCCATAAGTACAGGACATGGGTTTCTACTGAATAAATATAGAGATGAATACCATTATAAACAGAATTTTACTACCGTAATAGATTTGTCCTATGAATATAGTATATAGATAACTAGTGTTATGAACTAAATTTACAGCTGGATATGTACCGAATATAATATATAGGTGGATATTACTATAAATAGGGTTTTTACAGATATGTACAATAGCATAATATACAGATGATTGTTATTATAACAGAGTGATTAATAACATATCTACCACATCTCATGTATACTGGTATATATATATTATATTGATCTCATGGGGAAGAAGAGCGGCTCAAGTTTATATAAACGTTTAGGGATAACAGTCTTTCTTCCAGGTCCAAAACAACTTTTAAATCAGTTTGTCTTTAAATAGGCCCCAGTTTTCCATATTGTATTTTAAAACCTGTTATATTTTAAGTGGTAAATTATTATGTCCATTTTGACGTAAATGGTTTAACATTTGGTAGAATTTGTATGTTATTTGGTTATATATGATGAGGTATTAAGTTAATAATGGCTTTCATTTAAAAAAATTAGGAAAAAAGATTACATTGATTTTATTATAAATTTGTATTTTGATTGATTTTTTTTTTTTCCATGAAATGTCTTTTTGTTGATGCTGTGTGCTGTGATTCTAAGGAACAGATGTTATGAGGTAGCCAGATAAACCAGACTAAATGTGAGATTTAATGTGTAGGCCTAATTTAAAAACTCGCATGCAAAAATGATTTTGGCAGCTGGCGGGTGGGGCTGGTTTACTATGCTAGTTATGATGCAAAACAACCTTGATCAGTAGTTTTATTGTGGAAAATTAAAGACACATCCTAAAGCCCCCCCCCCCCTCCAAGAGCACAAACATTGGTTGTTTTAATTTTTTTTTTTTTAGTTATCTACCAATGTCTTCGTTATGGGAAGTAAGATAGTTTACATGGCTGGGTAAAAAAGGTAAAGGAGGTGCAAAAGTTTTGGTCATATTCTAGTGTTAATAAAACGCCAACCTAAATGGACATTTCTGTATAAAATGCTTAGGGTTTCAGATATATAAATACTGTATCAATTATTTGCATCATTTGCTTTTTGCTAATTCAAATTCATGTTAATAATGTTCCTGAACTCTGCAAAAATGTGCAGTGATCACTAAGTTCTGTAGTTTACTCAAATGCATTTTTATTCTAGTCGGTCACATCTTATCTGGGTAATTAAGCATCATAATACCATGATCATTAATCCATGGAAGTTTTGTACAGATGGCCAGGAGCTCATTCCTGCTAGAAAATCAAACAAGCCAAATGGGCCTAATATTTGCTGGTAGATGGCTGAGTTCACCAATAGCCTCCGTAACAAGTTACTAACAGCAGCAGGTGAAATGGAAATCTCACTCTTGGTTTTAAGCAAATGAAATCCACTGTTTCAGATTATTGATTAAATGGAAAATATACTTAATTTGAAAAAAGACAAAGCATGGCTGCAGCCCGTGAATTTATTTAAACCCTTGAATGCACATTGATTCCTAATCAAATGAATGCAGCTAACGCTTCCACCCACAGCTTTTTAACCAAAACACTACTACGGAAGACGATTAAGGCCACTGAATTTTTTTTACGAAATTTAACTGATTTTTACATTTTATTTCAGTATAATATGAGAAAAATCTCAGAATTCTGACTTTAACCTCATTCTGACTTCAACCTCAGAATTCTGACTTTATTCTCAGAAGTCTGACTGAATTCTGACAGCTAAGAAACATGTTAGCATCAAGCCATAGCCATGTCTGTTTTAAAGACTAAACTAGATCTCTTATTTTAATCACCTTCTGTTCCTCCATTAATGAAATAGCATCACGAGGGACCCCTCGGGCACGTAAAAAGTCACCAAATTCCATCATTTTCCACCAATGTGTTACTGACCCTCCCAAACAACTCACATCTTTGTCAGTGAAGCTGAGTGCTCCCACATCTCTTCCTTCATGGTGCCCATCTACATTAAGTTCCAGAATTCTGAGATTAAAGTCAGAATGAGGTAAAGTCAGAATTTTGAGATTAAAGTCAGAATTCTGAGGTTAAATTCAGAATGAGGTTTAAGACATAATTCTGAGATTAAAGTCAGAATGAGGTAAAGTCAGAATTCTGAGGTTTAAGTCATAATTCTGGGATTAAAGTCATAATTCTGAGATTAAAGTCAAAATGAGGTTAAAGTCAGAATTCTGAGAAAAAAAGTCAGAATTCTGAGATTAAAGACAAAATTCTGAGATTAAAGTCAGAATGAGGTTAAAATCAGAATTCTGAGATTAAAGTTAGAATGAGGTTAAAGTCAGAATTCTGAGAAAAAAAGCCAGAATTCTGAGATTAAAGACAAAATTCTGAGATTAAAGTCAGAATGAGGTTAAAAACAGAATTCTGAGATTAAAGTCAGAATTCTAACTTTTTCCTCATATTATACTGAAATGAAATTTAAAAATAAGTTACATTTTTTCAGTGGCCCTAATCCTCTTCCGTACTAAGGCCTCTTGCTTTTTTAACACTGACCTTTTTTTGCAAGGGGTTTTAGGGTAATTAATGAGCATTCAATAATAACACACAGCCATTAACAGTTATGTACTAAAAAGTATTAACGGTCTGATTTAATATTCTTGCTTGCTATAGAATTAACTATAAATATATATTATGAAGGAAGTTTTACTCATGTTTTTTGAGTATTTAATTTTCAGCAAACCCAGCACAGTAACAGTACTGCGTGTGACCGCGGGGAGGCGTTACAGCGTTACCAGTTTGAACCAGAACTCGCTTTGCTGGACTGACCGAGAAAAAAAAAAAAAAACGTCGGCTACGTGATAGCAACGAAGCGATTAATATCGGCTTAGCTACGACATCATAGAGAAACACAAACGCCACCACGGATTTTTTATGGGACAAACGCACAGGCCTCGCTGCGAAAACGGTTAATAACTGAATTGTTTATTTATATTCTCTACATTTTAACAAAGTTAAACCACCGTTAGCTCAGCCGCTAGCTCAACCGCTAGCATTACTTGCTGTGCAGCTAAGATGGCGGTGAAATTATTTACATTAGCTAATAGCTAGTGGTTAGCATAGGAAATATGCGCTGGTTATTCTCTCGATGGTCCTCCTAATGTTTTGTGTTATTGATTTAAGTTATGGTGCTGGTTGAAAATATTAGTATTATTTGACATTTTATGAAAGCAAACGATAGTTTAATGTCCGGTTTTGATATTGTAAATTCAGCTGGTGGCTAACGTTATTTCATGAGCTTGGAATCAGAATATGAAGCTTTCACATATCCCCAGGCTTAGTCGGATACATGTTCCTTCTGTACAATTATCTAATGTAATAAAATGTATACTCTAAGAAGACTCTTCAATAAGTGTTTAAAAACACGGACACCTTTTCCCGTGTCCACATATTTGCGGGAGTCTAGTTCCAACATGCCTCTCCTGCAGCAGCTATTTTTGCCTCAAGGCTCTGGTTCAACTTTCTACAGGTTGCAGTTAGATCCAGTTTAATGAGTTTTTTTTTAGCTATACCTTAGCTATCCTTTTTAATATACGTACTACACGCTCAGCTTGTAGAATAACATTTCTCTAAAATGAACACCCCCATCTAGCATAGATAGAAATTACAGTTTCTATTTGGTTAGTGATTTATTATTATTTTTATGTAGTAGGATGCCTAATAACCTCTTGAGGCTCATACTGAAAGTTCTGAAATAAGTGATCAGTCATCGAAAGTTTCAAAATTTTAGGAAAGTGTGGTATTTCCTTATTTTTATCATTATTGCACATTGTGATAATTAAATCAGCCTTTATCCAAATCAAAATCCTTTTTCCCCTCAATGTCTTTAACTTTTCTAGAGCTTTACATAATTTTTTGGAATCAAGCACTTTGAAAGTTGTTCTAAACGGCCAATCATATCATTGGCAGGGAGAGTTTTATTGCATTGCATTTGAAATATTTCTCTATGCTAATTATTGGAATCTAATATTTTCTTTGCGATTTTAATATTGTTTTGATATTGCAGTGACAGTTTGCAGCTGAACATGTCATGCACATTAACTGTCACCATAAATAGGTGATAAGGGTGGAAAGGAGTAGCTCACTATTATTTTAGGGAAACGAATTAAAGCATTTTAAAGGAATACATAGTTATTGACTAAACAGATGACTGTTAAGAATTTTGATTATATTTCACATTTCAAACCAACTTTCAAAGTTTTCCAAAAGGTGGGATAATGTTGCCCTGGACAAATGCAAATCATCTCTTTTTTTAGTACATAATGTCCTGTTTTATACATCACCTCCTATTTTATGAAATTTCAAGTATGAAAAGACCAAAAATGCAAAAGTATGAGTTGTAAAAAGTTGGAAATTTCTCACTTTTGATTCTGTGTGATTTGAGTCTGGTCAGAGGTCAGGTTATATGCTCAGGATTTAATCTATTATACAACACGTTAATGAGTATATTAAATGGAAACATTTGTTTGATACAGTTAATTATTTTGTTGGACTTTTTTACAATTTTTTTCCCTTTCTATCCACTCACTAGATGCCTCACAATAGAAGATACGGCTCTTCAGATAGAGATAGCCGCACAAGCTATCAAGACAGATACAGAGACCGAGGACGAAGATACCGCCACAGAAGATCACCGACGCACTCCTCCAGTACTGAAAGAGAGCGTGACAGAAGGGGACGGGGGCACCGACAAGAAGCAAGTTATCTACGCTCAAGGAGGTATGCAGTGCATAGTGGGAAATCTGTTCATAAGTGTTGCATATTCAGACATATATGATCGTGAATATACACCTCAAATT